AGGCAGAAGGCTATCCCAGCATATGATAAAGCATCACCTTAATTACTCTAAGAGTCCGATATTTGAAATGTGTCAGAAAGCAAAAAACATGCTGGGCACAGAGCCTTCTGATGTGGAGATGGGTATCAGGTTACCCAGGGCTTCTGTGTAGGCCAAGGAGCAATGGTCAGAGATGAATGTCGGATGTGGCTCCACACAAGGCAGTCTTCTCTAGAGGGCTGGCTTTGAAAGATTAAGGATGGCAATGACAATCTTGAAGCCACATTTTTCCCCCACCAACCAAGGACCAATGACTCTAAAGGAGAGTAGGGCCTTCACAGGGGAAGCTGAATCAAAACAAAGCCAGTGGCTCAACATTTTAGCCCTTATGCAATGATCATTGGGGTATGTTTCACCAGTGATTCCAAATTGGAAGGGATGGCGATGACAGGTTTGTTTAAAAGCATTTGTGGAGCAAAAGTAAAATGATATTTCTGCATCAAGGGAGAAATGGTTAAAAGTTAGGGAGTTTAATGTTGGACAACCATGGCTTTATCTTTGGTCTTTATCATAAAGATCAAGGAAAAAGCACAGGAAAACAGGTTTCCTAAGCAGCAGGATGATGGTCCTACTCTCGGTTCTACCACTAGTAACTTGTTATGTAACACCTTGTACCAGTCAGAGCCTCCATGGAGCTCAGTTCTTTCCTCTTCCCTAAAATATGGCAGGAGAATCAAAGACGTTCCAAAAATAATTTCCCTTAAAGCTTCAAAGTATCTCCTTCATTTAGATCTCTGATGAAATGTAACTTCCTCAATTTTCCTGATCACCCTACATAACATAGTATACCCTGACCCATTCACTAGCTCCCTGTCCTACTTGTCTCCACAGCCCTTGTCTCCACATGAGATTATGTACACTCGCCCACTTCTTTATTACAGCTATTCCTGCTAGAAAAAGCTCTCCAAGGACTCTTTGAGCAATCCCATGCCTAGACTTATGATTGGCACATAGCAGTGCTTAACAAATATCTGATGAAATAAATTAACAAAATGAGTTATGATGAGGCTTGGCAAAAAAAGCAGGGAGTCCCATACAGAGAGGACAGAATATTTCTGATTGAGATCATGATGTTGGTCAATCCTCCTGTGAAAGGGTAGAAGACCATAGCCACCTACAGATGACATTTTGTCCTGTACATGAGCATCCTCCAACATAATACCTTAGCAACCACAAATTTGTTCTTTCATGTGTCATTTAAATATAGTACAAAAAGCATGTTCATACTTTTGTATTAAGATATTCTCTAATGTACAACATGACCCAGACTTGAAATTCTTTCCACTTAAAGCTTTAGGTTATTCATAAATTGGTCCCAACATGATTTTCTTAATTAGTATACTCAGGAAGAGGGCAAAGGGAGTGGAGACAGTTATATCTGCAATGAGTACAGCTTTCATTTTCAAGTCATTCACTCTTTTTTTCACTTGTTTCCTATACTCAGTGTTCAATATTTTTTTCTCACATTGCCCATCTTTTTTTTTTTTTTTTTTTTTTTTTCCGAGATGGAGTCTTGCTCTGTCACCAGGTTGGAGTGCAATGGTGCGACCTTGACTCACTGCAACTTCCACTTCCCAGGTTCAAGCCCCTCTCCTGTGTCAGCCTCCTGAGTGGCTGGGACTATAGGCACCCGCCACCATGCCCAGCTAATTTTTATATTTTTAGTAGAGGTGGGGTTTCACCATGTTGGCCAGGATGGTCTCGATCTCTTGACCTCGTGATCTGCCTGCCTTGGTCTCCCAAAGTGCTGAGATTACAGGCATGAGCCATCATGCCCAGCCTCTCTTTTTTCCATGGTCTTTTATGCTCCCTTTTCTCTTCTGTCATTCTCCATAAATCAGTCTGCTGTGTTGGTAGCTAAGTCACAGGTCATGTACAGATTTAAAAATAATCTTGGTTAGTCTTTGAAGGACTAAGCAGAGTCCTCCCCGAAATAGGAAGCTGAAAGCTGCTGGATGTGGAAAGTTTGGCAAATGCAGGGGGCAGCTAGCTACTGGGAAAGTGTTCAGATCCTTTGTTGTGAAACTACGCTCCTGGCCTTCCAAGTCTCTTCCTCAACTTCATATGACAGCCACAGAACTTGCCTGCATCTTTTGGCAATTAATCCTAGTATATCAGATTTTAGAACAGAACAGGACCTCAGAGATCACCTAACCCCCGCCCCCAAACCTTCAATTTTACAAACGAGGAAATGGAGGCCAAGAGAGGTTAAGTGACTTGTCAGGGCCCACGGAATTAACAAGTTGACACGATGTAGGGACCCAGATAGCTCCAGACCAGGACCCTGAAGAATGATTGTTGGAAAAGCCCAAGAAACCTTACAGGTTCTGCTACCAAAAATGAAAAAGCAAGATAACTGATCTAAAGGAAAAGTTTGGGAATGAAGACTGAGTATTTCAAGTGTAAATAGATCTACTACTTAAGATATTTCCAGATATTCTTTGACTTTTTTTTTTTAAAATAAAAGAGAGCAAATAAGCATATAACAGTTAAGGAAAAACTAGGCTAAGCATTACACTTAAAAAAAAACCAAACTCTTAAAGCCATTTATGTTTTCATATTTAATAGTTTTCAATGTAATATCTTATATGCATAGTGATGACTATACCATTACACTGACCTCTAACTTATGCCTTTCAGTAATCAAAAGCAGCTGATTTTAATGTGCTGCTGCTTTAGTGTGAAGGAGCTTAAGGCTGCATTTGTGTGCAATCAGGTTAAGATTGGCTCCAACAGGAGAAAAATCCATACATATGTTGCAAAGATCTTAAAAATGCCTGTATTCCCAACCTGATTACAACTTACATTTTTGCATGGTTTGTCAAAGCAGATCACTGAAATCAAATCAAGATGTAAAAAGGGATAAAGTGGCTTTCTTCTCCATTCTTCCATTAGTTGCCGTGACCTATTGAAGAAAGGAACTTTTCCCTCTCTCACCTGAGGCAAGGTGGGATACTCCCCTGGAAGTTACGCCAATTTTTATCAATCGGTGCTCAAGTTACAAACCTAATTTTCTAATTTTCATTTCCTACATTTGTAAATATAAGTTACTTTATTACAGAATAATTTGCCATTTCGCTCAGCAATTCTATTTAGTTTCCTTTTAATAAAACAGTAAACAAATTGATATAACTTTGAAAATCTATTTAAAGGTTATATAAAATTGATTTTATTAAACTGAAAAAGTAGATACAAGAATTAGAGCTATAGCTAGTCTTTCCTAATAAGTAAAACTTGGTAAAACGTCAATAAGAATTAAATCAGTCTGTTACTGGTTTGTCAAAAAGAGAGTATTAGCAGATGATACATAAGCATTTCTTTTGGCATCATTTAAATTGCTGACAGTATCAAGCTGTATTCGACTAAGACAGTATGTTGTTAACATGAAAAATACAAATGAAATAAATATCATGGTTAACAGTCTAGCTGTTATCTAGAAAATTCTCAAGTCAGACTGTGGCTAGGTCAAAATAAAGAGTTTTGGAGAGGAGGGAAATGTGTTGCCTCTTTTACACACAAGCATGTTTGTTACAGGAGCATTTTCAGTTTAATTTTTGCTATTAATGTAAACCACAGTTGGGGGACCAATTGCTGGAAGAGGAATGGGGGAGGGGCTAGTTATATAAACAATATACAACAAAGAAAGTCTTTATTTCCAATACCTGAATACATCAGGTTTGTTTTTAGGGAGAAGGTTGCAGGTTAAATGCTTTCAGCTATCCAAGAAGTGGCTTATTAGTTTTGTAAGAAAATATTTTCTTCTATTTTGACTGAAAAATACCTAGTTTAAGTGAACAAAACCATCCTTGTTAGTGAAAAGCAGACCCACAAAAACTTTGTTTCAAAGATCCAGTAAGGAAAAGCAAAACTAATTCAAGAGGAAAAGCTGCTTTCCTAATAGTAGCTTCTGAATCTGGATCCAATAGTTCTCAAAGGCCGACTGGAGTCTTCGAGTCTTAAAAGTTTTGTCTTTCTCCATGGATCATAGACATTCTCTATGAGGCAGCATAACACGGATATAAACCTGTTTTAAGCACTTATATATTCTCTTTCTTGGCTATGGTCATAAAGCTGAAAAGTTATGCACCCACAGAAAGAATGAAGGCAAGCAAAAGTTATGATTATTTTACAGAGCAGTTTTCCAAACACAACTTTCTTTTTTGCTCTTCTATTTTGAGCGAATGGCAATGTAGCATCCGCCCGTGATAAAATAAATGTAACCCAGTGATTACTGCTTTAGGGACAGCACAGTGACAGGGCTCAGACCCGCACTTCAACTTACTGATTCTGCGTTGGCCGGCACCTCAGCTATGTGCTCTTCCAATTTCTAAATGGGCCTAATCCTGTTATTACAGAATAATTACTGCAAATCAGCACAATTACTACAAAGATTTGAGTAAACACACACATACCAGTAGCTGTTTTCTACAAATTATTATCAAAACAAAGAGAAACGGCTAATTGTGGTAACATTAAGACAATGTTTATTCCTCCCAGTGTTTGGGCAAGTTTATTTTAAGTTGTCATCTTCAACTAGTAACGATGCAGATGATTTTACAGACTCCATAAACCTTTCTAATCTAAACTCTTCTCAACTGAAAGTTGGCTGCTTCCCTCAGAGCAACATCTGCAAAGGCCTGATTTCATAAGAACCCGCTTTTATGGTACATTTGCAGAAAAAGTCACCAAAACACATTTAGAAACCTCATTTTAGAAAGCTCATTACTAAGGTGCTCTCCTAAATTATGTTTAAGGTATTATGAAAGTAATAAAATATGCACTTCATATTTTTCACAACTGAAGCATTTGTTTTTAAGTAAGTACAACAAAACTTTATCCCCTCACCAATATTATCAGATTTCCTTCAAAGATAAATACTTATTTTTGGAAGGGAGGGTGGTTAGGAAGCAGGAGAATTCAGAAAGCACACAGCACACAGTAATGATTATATTGAGACCTACCTCCTGGACAGTGCCTCATTGCCATCTTGCATCTCCTGGATTCAGCAATGGTTGGACACGGTATTGTGTCTTTCGCTGGCTTTTTAACAATTTGCCGTGTTCTGGTTTCCAGACCCCATTTAAATCCACATGTGCGATTATTTCTGCTACAAGTTCCCCATTCGCTCCAATGACCAACTTCACATCCTTCTAGTAAAGATTTTTAGAAAAAGAAAAAAACACAAGCACATAAGTTAGTATCTATTTGCTTTACTGTCATCAAATTTACATAGCAGTGTTCCTTCACTAGCCCCACCTTGGGATATCAAAAATTAAGTGGTACAGCCTTGAAGACCTATACTAGCCTTTTGGGAACTTTAATTTTTTGAACCATAGAATACTTCTATCAAAAAAAATACCCCTTAAGTAATTCATAAGCTGTTACTTTCCATTTGTCTTAGTTCAGTTTTCAAAGGATGCTATTGGTCAGTTCTGTTTTTTCCTTCAACTTTTAAGTTCAGGAGTACACGTGCAGGATGTGCAGGTTTGTTACAGAGGTAAACGTGTGCCATGGTAGTTTGCTGCACAGATCAACCCATCACCCAGGTATTAAGCCCAGCATCCATTAGTTATTCTTCCTGATGCTCTCCCTCCTTGCATTGCCCCCATCCTGATAGGCCCTAGTGTGTGTTGTTTCCCACCATGTGCCTATGTGTTCCCATAATTCACACGTGAGAACGTGTGGTGTTTGGTTTTCTCTTCCTGCATTAGTTTGCTGAGCATAATGGCTTCCAATTCCAACCATGTCCCTGCAGAGGACTTGATCTCGTTCTTGTTTATGGCTGCATAGTATTAGATGGTATATATGTACCACATTTTCTGTATCCAGCCTATCAGTGATGAACATTTAGGTTGATCCCATGTCTTTGCTATTATGAATAGTTCTAATGATACTAAAATGTGTAATCTTTAAAGAGTCAACAGTTAAAACCTAAAGTAGAAGACACTATTTCCTACCATGACAGAAGACAAAATTTTACAGGCTAGTTCTGAATGTGCCTCCACCAAACCCATAAATGTGTTTTAGTTTGGAAGCACTTGGTGAAAAAAATGGGGAGCTTGCTTTGTATTTTCTGACTTTTTCTTTTCTTTCAGCAGGTGTCTGGAGACCACAGTTCTTATTCCCCATATTGGTGTACATTACTATAGTTTGAAAAGTAAACAAATGTGATCAGTCATTTGAAAATGTATGTTTTTACTACATACGTAAAAGCCTTTAGCATCCCCTATGTTAAGTCCACATAGTGGAAAATAGGCTATCCCCCAACTCCCAGGGGAGGGAGAGGAGGAAGTAAAAGGATAAGCATATACAAAGCTAGACCTCCTCATCAACTTCACCATTAAAACTCCTCTTCACGCTAGTGGATGAAGGCTGAGGTCCAGAGTTTGCATACAATTAATATTTCCATCTTCTAGACATCAGTGGGTGTCATGGCTGCTTCTTAGACTTTTCAAAGACATTTAAGATTTTTTATTCAAAGAATGCATAAGTCTCTATAACATTCTTATAGTTAAGGATTTCAGCGTTTCCACTGAACATTTGTAATGTGTGTGTCCTGCCTCTCAAAAGAAAATTCAACATTCTGAATATGTTCTTCTAGTGACTTTCTTATTTTAATAGTGGTGCCTATATAAATGTATTAATTCACACATAAGTAGAAACACAAATGCACATATTTCTTCAAAAACCACTTATTTAAATGTCTTCTCTGCAAGTTCTCAAATACACAATTATAGACTACTTCAGCAATATTTTCATAGAAAAATTTCAAATTTTCTTCTAAGTCTCCATTTTAAGGGATGTAAAGTCTAATACATAGCTGTGTTGTATATCATATCAGATATATAACAGCAAATGAAATTCTGGGGAGGGAGCATGTCAATACATCCATGATTAGATTAAGAGATTCATCATAATGCAGCCACTGACAGATCTTTACCTTTAAATCAGTGGTATAAGAATGCCAAGGTATTTTACCCCACTCAGAAGATATAAAATTTATAAAATATGTTACTATTTTCACAGATAAAACATATATATCAAATTATGCATTCTAGGTATATAAATTTGGTAATCATTTTAATGTATTTGTAACATATAATCAACAAAATATGGCACAAATAATTTCTTTTCAAGTGTTTTTTTTGTTTTTTTTTTTGTTTTTTTTTTTTTTTTTTTAACACAAACAGCTAAGCAAGCAGTTCTGTAATTCCACACACAGCAAAAGTAATAGAGTAGTTAGCTGATGTGGTAGTGCTTAAAACTTCTCTTCTGAACAAAATGTTTTTCTCTAACAGTTACTAATAATTTATTAAGAAATAGATGTATTACACAGGTGATTAAGAATAAACTTTGTCAGCACTTAAGTAGATCAACCTAGCAAATGCACAACTAGCAAATTTTACAGCAAGATATGAGACTATCCAATTGTCATGATACTTAAAGTCAGCAAAGAACTTAATTTTCAGTTCTACTGAACAAGAGAACCAATTTGTTTCTTAGTTTAAATATATCTAGCATGCATATTTTTAAGAAACAGGTGTTAAAATAAAAGTTGCAGTTTGAGAGTCACATTAAAAACTACTCACCCACACATTCCATGGTTTCTTCTAATGGTGCAAAACCATCTGGACATTCTTCAAAGCAACGGCCTCTATGCAAATAAAAGCCTACTTTGCACTTGGTACAAAAGTCTTTGCTAAAGCAAGAATCGCAGTTTTCTATTCTGCATCCTAAAAACAATTTTAAAGAGAAAAAAGAAAATTTCAGTCAAAGAAATTTACTTGTTTTACAAACAAAACTTTTGTAAACTCATAGGTTAGCCCATTTGAAATTCTCATCATCAGAGAAATATTGTTTAACTCATTTGTTTCCTAGCGCCGTCTCATTCTAAATCATTCCCATCTCTTCCAACAGCTTACTACATCAATAACCCAAGAGAGAATGCCAGCCCAGGGTCCCACGCGCCATGAGAACTTTCGGAAATGTTAGTAATCTCCAGATGGGATTAAAACAAAAAATTCAAAAGAAAAAGAAAACACTCCCTCTACAAATGACCTGCTGCCAGTATTCAAATCTGTCCTGCCCTCAAAAGGCCTCCAATGGGAACACTGTAATGAGCATTTGTGTATAGGAAATGAGTTAAGAATTTTAATTTTTAAAATGTTTTCAAATGCATGGTCTATTTTATAGGGCACTGGTCAACACTGACACCTACATTCATCAGAGGGTGACCTGGGTGGGGCCGGGGGCGGGGTGGAAGTTTAGGTCATTTTGTTGAAAACCTACAATGTGTCAAAGGCTTTACACATATTTCCATTGAATCTTCACAATAATCCTACATGTGGGCATTAGAAACTCCATTTGGCATATAAGAAACCTGGGACTAACAGAGTAGCAGCTGAATTGGTTCTGAAAGCCGCCAAAACCATCTGTCTTTTAAATCCATTCTCTTTCTCTCTATAACTCACTCACTGAAGTCCGCTAGGAGTTTGTGAAACAGATGTGCTTTCAGGTCTGTTACATCTGGGTGTGAATACCAAGCTCTGCCCTTACCAGCTCTGTAACTTTAGACAACTATATGCCTCTCTGAGCTTCTATTTCCTCCTGTATTAAACAGGGGCATCACTGACCTTACAAAACTATTGTAAGGTTTTGTAATAATATATGTAAATTGACAGGCTCATAATAGGTAGTCTGCAGATAGAAGCCACAGTGAATTAGAAACATGTATTTTTCCACTAAACCATATACATTACAATAAGGTATAAAACAAAGCAATAATTTATGAGCTTGTATTCTAGATCAGATTCCCTGGTAGGTCAGTAACATCTGGGTCAGAAATCCTTGGCATGCACAGGTGAAAATAAATACACTCTCTTAACTACTCCTCAAGGAAAGGAGAGAAGTTTGGAGGACTGGTAAATTCCAAGGTCAAGTTTTCAACAGATTGTAGTACATTATTACTTGTAACAGTTTTAACTGATGCAATTGACAGCACATAAAGTCCTGTGAAAACTCTGTGACATCACATGTATTCATTTAACAAGCCTCCAGAACTATACTTCCTGCTTTAAGGATTCAGGAAGCTTTAAGACACATAGTTCCCATAAGCAAAGAGATAAATGGGTAAAAAAAAAAAAAAAAAAAAAAAAAAAAAAATGCAGCCAAGATGTTAAATCACTGAAGATTTCAGTGCTTTAAAGGCTACATTTAAAGGCTAAAAATAAATTTCATTAAAATAGATCACATAAGAAATGACTGTGTCTAGACCTATTAAAAATGGCAACTCTTTGCCTTTCAATTTTGAGTCTAAACAGGCTTCTGTGTATTAAATGACCAGTATGAAGCAGCTAATGCAACTTCTAAAATGTTACCAAATTTATAAACAGAACACCAAATATGTGTGGGTTAAAGTCCACATACAAATCTACACTACTGCTCCTTTGGTGGGGAGGGAAATGGTCAGCACAGAAGAACAGTTTATCACCCCATAAAAGGTTCATTTGTAGTCTTAAATGCTTTAACCTATATTTTAATAAAATCATGGTCCATAGCTGGTCAATAACCTCTTAATCATGGTCAAAATACATGACCATTATGTCCACAAATTGTTAGTTTTCTTGCTATATTTTTTTAAAAAACAAGCAGCCCTTCTTGCCGTAGAGTTATTTTCCAAGAAATAGTAATGAGCATTCCAAAGGATAAAACAGAACTAAAGGGTGAAGAGAAAAAAAAAGAACACTTATACTTAAAGAGAAAAAGAGGACTTTACACTTCGTAAATCAGCTATCATCTACAAGGTCTGACTTCTCTTTAAAATAAAGCCACACCAATAAGCTTTTTGGCCAAAAAGTTATAGCATTTGGAATTAATTTTACCAGGCCCTTTGCTGATCTTTACTGTTACTTGTAGCTCCCTTCCTTCATTTCATTCCATGCTCCTAATACCAGTTCATAGAATATGCAATTGCTGAAATACCTATCATTCTCTGTAAAGTCCCTGAGGACTTCTTCAGGTAAAAATCCTGTTGGATGAAAGCTTAATTATTTGTTCTTGAATTCAAGTAGAATATAAATATGATATGTTCAAACTGTAGAAAATGATAACCATTTAAAAGTACAAGGTGAATTATAAGTAATGACCTGGAAAACCCATTGTTAAGTTAAAAAAAAGAGACAAGTTGGCTGGTCATGGTGGCTCACATCTGTAATTCCAACACTTTGGGAGGCCAAGGTGGATGGATCACTTGAGCTCAGGAGTTCAAGTTCAACCTAGGCAACATGGTAAAACCCCATCTCTAAGAAATCAGCTGGGCATGGTGGTGTGTGCCTGCGGTCCCAGCTACCTGGGGGGCTGAAGCAGGAGGATCACTTGAGCCTAGAAGGTCAAGGCTGCAGTGAGCTGTGTTTGCGCCACTGCACTGTAGCTTAGGCAACAAAGTGTGACCCTATCCCAAAAAAAAAAAAGGTACGTTGCGAGATATATATAGTACAACACAAAACTATGTATGCGTGCATGTGTTCATCTGTATGAAGTAGCTTAGGGAAGTTAATTTAGGGAGGGGATAGAATTTTAAAGTATGTTAGAGTTATTTTTCTGACTCATATCCTTTAATTACATTTATGTAATTAGTATCATAGAAAGAGTTATTACAATATGTATTTGTGACCTACTTAAGTTTATTCAAAAAGTGCCACTCCATTAACATTGTAAAATTAAGCTCTTTTGATTTTAACAGGCAAGAATAAAGGCATCTATCCCATCTAAAACTTTTTCAGATTTGAGTGCATGAATTATACCCCTGATTTAATAATGTTGAACCTGCTATAACCTTCAACAAATACCTTCATTTAGCCATCTCTTTCCAGTATCCTTTGTTTTCACATGTTCAATAGCATTGCTTTTCCTTCACTCAAATTTTAAGGGGAAAAAACTAAATAAAATATTGTCTGCGTAATAAAGCATTTTTATAAAGCTTTGATCAGTGCCAAGTCCTAGCACCTGAAGCTGTGCTGACCATCCTGGCCTCATTTGCTCTTTGCCACTACATAAAACCAATGCAGGCGGCCCATGCATTTGGCAGCCTGCACTGACAGAGCTCATCTGCTCACAAACACCTACAAACCCAATACTTTTTATTCTTTTATTTTTATTTATTTAGAGACAGACTTTCACTCTTGTTGCCCAGACTGGAGTGCAATGGCACAATCTTGGCTCACTGCAATCTCCGCCTCCTCGGTTCAAGTGATTCTCCGGCCTCAGCCTTCAAGTTGCTGGGATTACAGACATGCACCACCACGCCCTGCTAATTTTATATTTTTAGTAGAGACGGGGTTTCTCCATGTTGGTCAGGCTGGTCTCAAAGTCCCGACCTCAGGTGATCCACCCGCCTCGGCCTCCCAAAGTGCTGGATTACAGGCGTGAGCCACCATGCCTGGCCAAACCCAATATTTTTGAAAGCAAGCGGCACCACAAGCCACCTAATCCAGGAGGTCTCCTGCTTGACGTGCTTCACAGTCCTTGATGACCTTTCCTCAGCAGCTCCAGATCCAACCACAGCCCCCTGCTCTGTTCAGCCATTTCTCCAGGAGGTAACTCTTCTGCTTTGTGGGGGTCGGAGGGAATTCCTGTGTAGTCTCATAGTCCTATATTTTTCTCCCCCAGCTTGTAGCCATTTTCCAAAACTACTTAAGCATTTTATCCTTAATTGGGATTCATATCAACTCTATTAACTCATTTTTATATAAAAGTAAAACATTCTCATTATAAGTAAAAACTCAAAGCAGTACAGAAGGTTTACAGGAAAAAATAGAAATCCTTTTTCTCACCTGAATGGCACATCAGGCCTAGTCCCCAGAAATAGCCACTGTGTTAACAGTTTCTTCCATACACTTTAGAAAACCTCTATGTAAATCTTATAAATGAGTTAGTCACTATTGAAACACCAGTAGGATCATACAATAGATTGTTAAACCTTTGAAAACTGTATACTACATAATAGGTGTATTAAAATTTATTAAACATAGGCCTTTTCTATAAAAATATGGGCTTTAAGTCCTCATTCAAATAAAAGATCCTAGTTTAGCCAACTTACATGCTTCTAAATTACAGCGCCTCCTCAAAAATGTAACCCACCAAATGAGGACTGCCAACATTGGTTTAAGTAAAATTACTGTCCAAGTGAAACTGCATCCAAATGCAGTCTGATGGGGCTGCCATTTGGCAAGAAGGGCTTACCCCTGGCCAAGAAACAGAAAAATAGGCTGAATACCCTCTCTCCTATCCTCCCATAGTACCCTATACAGGCTTTAATAAAACATTTTTCAAATTACACCATAGTCCAGCTCAACAGTTCAGTCCCAGCATTCTCAAGGAACACAGTATGTGCCAGACCCTAAGAACCTAAACCCATTCCCTATCCTGGAGGTGCTAAGCCAGAGGGGTCCATGTGGCACTAACAGTGCACCACAATGTAACAGGAGATTATATTAGAGTCATGTCTTGGGTACATTAGAGACAGAAAAGGGACCCATTTCTGTCCTGCCATTCAAGTTTTTTTTTTTTTTCAATCTGTGAATTCCCCATTCCTAACACAGTATAGGAAACATGGTGGAGTTTTAATGCTTGCTAAATAAATGAGCATGAATGTCATTTAAAGTTCAAATTCTGTAATATTTGCATGCTTAGTGAGAGATTGATTGCACATGTACTATGTATTAAAAAGCCATAG